TAGGGAAAGGGTTTTTAAACATAAACATACTTTTTCAGTTCTTACCTTAAATACCCACTGACTGGTATGTTTTTAATTTGCTTACTGCTTGAGATTCTTGAGTTTTATTATTTAAAATAATTTCTTACTAATATCCCTAAAATTAATTTTTCTTTAAAGTATTTGAACAATGCATGCTACTTTTCTGTTCCTAAAAGGAGCATCGCCATGTTATAGATAATAGGTTAGTTTACTGGTTTATTTTGGGGTTGTTTTGTTTTTTTTCTTTGTCCTTCCAGGAGTAAGCACATCTGTACGATATTATCAGAACTTACAGCTTTGTTTTGAGCCATACTGCAGTGTGTCTGTTCAGCTGCAAATGGTACAGGTGCCATTATGAAAATAATTTTTTTCTTATTTGTTTTAAAAAATATGGGAGCACAAGCAGAAGCTTTAGTGCCTTCTTAAAATGTGGTATTTTCTAGAAATGTATATGTGCTATTACTCATTTTCAGATGAATTTTACATGAACTCTATTGCTATTTTGCCACCACCATACTGTAGACAAGAATGCAAGTGATTTGTCAGAACGGTTGTTAAAATACTAAAGCTCCATTTTTACTTTTATTTTTAGAAGAGATTAATAGATGAAAGCAAAGATGCAATTTGGGGACCACCACTGTACAGAATTAGTAGCTGAATACAAAGCATTTTCTGATCACCTGCATTAAAGGCAGCCTTTTAGACATTAAATCTACATTTGGATGGCCTTAATTGTTACCTCTCCACTGTCTTCTCTGATACCTGTTGGGTCATATAAAGGGACTTGCATGCAAAGAAGAGGGGATAAAAAATTTTGGGGAAAAAGTTCTGATTTACACAGGAATTACATGATAGAGATTCTTTTTTCATTCTCTGGGGATAAAGCATGTAAGAAGAGAATGACAAAGCAAATATTTTTGTCAAGGTAAAACATGGCTTGGGTTCTCTGAACTACTTTAGTCAGTTACATGAGATTTCTTTAAAGTCATACCTTTAAAACTTAGGTGTACCTAGAATTGAGTAGATTATTTTTAATATAACTTAATGCAGTCAAATTACTTAATTGCCTTACCTCATGGGAAGAGTTATTTCTTTCAGTTAAAAAGAAAACTTAACGGTATATTAGCTATTTGCTTGCAATTTGTTTTTATTTTCCTTTGCATAGTAATTCTTCTGGGGAAAAAAAAATTACAAGGAATGAAAAATTTGCCCAATTCCTAAGGTAATGAAACACAGTTTGATTGTGAAGCTGCTTAGTCACTCTTCATTTTCTGTAAGATTTCATGTTCTTGCCACTGTGTACATTTAAAACTATAGAAAATGCTTTACCATGTAAAGTATAGACATTCATTTTTGTGATGTTTAAGCCACATGCTGTTGGCTGGTAAACAGCTTATTCTGATAAAAGAATGACAAATATGTATGCTTACAGGAAGACTGTGAAGGATTGTGTCTTGCAACAACAGCTGTCTTATTTATGATGTGTAAGTAGCATAGAGCAAAGAGATTGTTTGTATACTTGTTATCTTTGGTACCATTTCACTAATAAAATTAAGTATTTTAGAGGGAAATTTCTCCTGGTACGTACTTATTGAAGGAATATTTTTAGTTGATCTGGTCTTATGCGGACAGCTTCTTTGATTTGAAATGTGGTTATCAGGGAAAATATACATGTATTAATAATAATGTTTTTGAAAAGCTAAGTTTCTCCTTTTGGCAGAATTGGAACTCTTTCAATGTATCGTGTTTCAGCTGATACTAGTTTGATTTCTTTAGTTTTGTTATCCTGAAATTGCATAGCTCTGTTATGTATCATTTACAGAGTATGTAAAGGATTGCCTACAGTTAGGTAAGAAACATGCCTTTGAAATTAATAGTTAAGGATGGCAGCCTTACTAGCTAATTTGTCACATGTAAATCGGTATACATCACATTATTACATTGTATGTGAATTAATAGTTCCCTTACAAAAAGTTCGGGTTTTCTTTTAAGGCAAAAAACCAACCACAAAACATACACGTTTCCTCCCCACCTCGTATTTTCTTACAAGTGCTGTATTTTCTGGTTTTGCTTTGTAAATACTGTGCAGATCTGTGAGGTAAAGTTTTGTCTGTTCGTATTAGGTGTTTTATGGTTCCCCTCTTCCTGAAAAGCCACTACTAGAGAACTCTTATTCTGTATAAATGCCTATCTCTGCAGAGGGTAGCTCATTTTTAAACTGGTAGTGTAGGACAGTAATGAATTTCGTGCTTGCTCCAACTGGACTGTGCACATCATCAATTAAATGTGTCCGTCTTCTAGTGGAAGTCCATTGCCCTCAACATTAGCAAGTTTGCATGCTGAGCTGCTATGTCAAATTTTTTGATTTTGCACTTTATAAATGAGATTGAGTGCAAGTTTTGAGAACAGTGTAGTTCATGATAACTGTATTGTTTTAAATGTAATTTCGTTTGAGTCAGCCTTTATTTGAAAATGGTGTGAGTCATAATTGCTCAGAAAAGTGATGATGAGGTGCCATTTTGCTGAGACCATGTAAAGCACGTATGCATAAGCTTCCATTAGTGGCCACAGTTATTTCACAACGGTGTTTCTGGGTAACGGGACTTTTCTTTGGACTTTGAAACAAGAAGGTAGCAGAAGACAACTGCTGATGGCCAAAACAGGATTCCAAGCTCAAAATAGAGGTGGCTGTGACTTAGATAAATTCACTGAAGTCAATAGGTGTACACAAGAATGAGGGATGAAATTTTGTTTGCAAACAGTGATAATAGCATGGTATGTGAAGAATATTGTTTTTCGTATTTCAGAATTAGAGCAGAAAAAAGCTCTTCAGCTGGAAATTTGAAATGTCTGAAGAATACCTGAGAAATCGGTGAGACGTGGGGTCTGCCTACCCATTAGTCACCTGTTAATTATTTTTATGGCAATTTCAGACAGATACCTCTGAACTAGCTTTACATTAGCTAGCTAATAGCAGCAACTTGTGGACAGTTTGGATTCTGAAATGAGCTGTGGCCACTTGAATGTGTTCACTCTGCTGCAGAGGAGGTAAATTCTGTAGTCTGTAGCATGCTTTGTATTGCTGCTTGTGTTCTCTGGCCCAGTTACATCTAAAGCAATACCTGAAATTACTTTGAAACTCTGCAAATCTCTTTGTTCCATGGTAGCTTCTTTGTATTGCCCTAAGCTTGTCCTGGGATTAAGTAATAGTTACTAGATTTAGGGATTTCTGTGATTTTCTTTTGGTCTAAGGAAGAGAATAACACATAAAGGCTGCTTTGTATGTGTCTTGGTGTCAGGACCAC